TGATGTTGAATGGTCATGTAACGGCCCTTCCTATCAGGCCAAGCCCCCGTCCCTTCATGCGGGAGCAGTTTGGAGTGGTGTGGTCTCCTCTGCAGAGCGCCGCCTCAGTGCCGCACCTGCACAGGTTAGTGCTTAGCCCCGCCTCCGACTGATCACGTGACCACTCAGATGCACTTTCACTCTGTCCGATAAAAGCACTGTTAAACTTCACTACAAAGCATCCTGATGCACGACGACCACCTCAATCCTCACTGAACTTTATTTATTTATTTATTTATTTTATAGCTTGGTCAAGTTGGTCAGAACTGTTCCTCTGTGCTGCACCTGGCTCTCGCTCGCTACTGAAAATAAAATAAAATGTTGCTAGCGGAGTGGCAGAAGGGAGAAGGATGTAAAGGTTTCCTCTAGGGCTGCCCCCCTAATAAAAATTAGATTAGTTGGTTAGTCAAAGAAAAAAACAGTTGGTGTCCGTGACGGGCAAATAACGGCTGGTCCTTACAGTATATTGGGCAGTAAATCCAAACGATAGCCTATTCATCAGCGAGCACAAATATGGCTTATCATTTGAAATTGAAACATGTAGCTTAAGTAGAAGCAGCTTTGCACGGCCGCTCGCTCTAACGTTAACTGAGATAAATGTGTGCTATTAGGAGCATATTCAAGTGTTTGTGTGGAGTGTGGAAGCTGTTTAGAGTGCTACTGCGTGACATGCAGGCGCCGGCACGATCACTGGTTTCTCCAGATAATAGTGGAAACAAAATAGGCTACGCCATAATTTTTGCTCATGCAGATAAGAGTAATACATCATTCGAAACTGTAAAGGGTCTACTTTTATTTGTATACACTCACAATAGCAACAATATGTTCTGATTTTGTAAAATAAAGAAAACAAACAGAATGCGCTTTCTGCCGCCTCGGTCTCTGCATCACAAAAATGAAGCGAAATGAAGCATCTAGACTACTTGCCTCACAGACATGAGATATATATCTAAAGTAAGCTTGAAATGTCTACTTTAAAATTAACCAAATTAAATAGAAAACAAATACTCTCTGATTATGTACTCTGTATTAAACTTGCATTTCTCTCTGAAGGCTTGTCACTGTGGAGATGGCGAGTCAGCATCATCAACTTCATCTTTGCAGCTGACACTGACTCAGAAAGCACTAGTTTATTTAATTAAAATATCTCCCACCCATAAATATTTACATAATTAAATTAATATAAACGTGCAATTAGTCGACTAATGGCTTAAATGAACGACTAGAAAATCAGGGGCAGCTCTAGATTCCTCAGGGATGTTGATCAGCCGTTTCCTGCACTCATTCTCTGGTGTTTGTGTGTGTTTCTCTCAGCCGTATGCCATCTCTATGCGAGGTCTCCACCAATCGCAGCCTGGATAACCTGGACTGTCTGATGGGAGCGGATGAAGCAGGTCTGCTGCATTGGGATGCTGATGGGGGATTCAGTCAGCGCTGCTCTACACTGGGACGAGGGTCCACCATGGGCCAGGTCACAAACATCATTTCATTCATTTCAAAGTTATTAAAGCGTCACTGTTACTATTATTATTGATATTACTTAGAGTATGTATATGTTTTTAGTGTAATGCACAATGAAGTAGTGCATATTCTCACTTAACAACTCCCAGAGGAATGTAGCAACCACATAGCAACCCCTGAACACCCTAGCAACTACACAGCAATGCACTATAGCAATGGCTAGAACACGCTAGTTACCACACCCTAGTAACCCCTAAACACCTTAACAACCACATAGCAACATCATAGCGAGCCCCAAAGCACTCTAGCAACAACAAAGCAACAGCAAAGCAAACCCTAGAACACCCTAGTATCCACATAGCAACACCATAGAAACCCCAAGAACACCCTAGTATCCACATAGCAACACTCTAAACACCACATAGCAACACCATAGCAACCATATAGCAACACCATAGAAACCCCCAAAACACCATAGTATCTGTATAGCAATGCCATAGCAACTTCTAGAAGAACCTAGTGGACACATAGCAACTCCAGAACACCCTAGCAACACCATAGCAACCCCCAGAACACCCTAGTATCCACATGGCAACCCCTAGAACACACTAGTGACCACATAGCAACTCCAGAACAACCTAGCAACCACATAGCAACACCATGGCAACTCCAGAACACCCTATCCACATAGCAACACCATAGCAACCCCCAGAACACCCCAATATCCACATAACAACACCATAGCAACCCCCAGAACACTCTAGTGACCACATAGCAACACTCTATAAACCAAATAGAAACACCATAGCAACCATATAGCAACAACATAGCAACTCCAGAACATTCTAGCATCACCATAGCAACCCCCAGAACACCCAAGTGACCACTTAGCAACTCCAGAACATTCTAGCAACCATACGGCAACCCTATAGAAACCACAGCAGCCAAGCATCCTAGCAGAGAGTTTTGCTCTGGCACCGTCTCTCACATTTTCTTCTTCAGATGTAAAATATCTCTTGTGAATGTGTACGCTTTGCATCACAGAGCGAACGCTGAAATGTGTCAGAGAGGTTTTGCTGATTACTTGACCTCAGGAACGGAGTGTTCCAGATTAAAATGCTGTAAGACATGCTTAAGCTAGTCTAAGGAGACGTGAAGGGTGGGAAATCAGTTCGAGGGCTTGTTATCAGGACGAGATACTCAAGCATTCGCTCTACTGATGGAGACATCAAGACTCCTGAAGCGAGACGAGGCTCTGAAATGATTTCTAAAGAGGAAAGAAAATAGATTTTTTTGGAGATCTGTTTTGCTCAATGGGATAATGTGCTGTGAAGACTGATGGATGATTCACGGAGAAGTTGTTTCTGAGATGCTGTTGAAGAGTAAATGGTGGGATCAAAGGGAAAGAAGTCAGGAAAATTGAGGACAACAGCTAATTTGCAGCACTCCTAAGTATTTTTCCTGGGAATTAGCTTGTGATTTTTAATTTATTGAGCTCTTCGGTATGGTTTGGCATGTGTATCTGTTGTTTGTTTGTCTTTAATTGTCAGATTTATCCTTGACAAACACACACAAGCCTCCTGTTCTGTTGTGTCTCTGTGAGAAGTGTCTCCTGCTGGACAAACACTCTCTCTACTCTTTACTCTGAGGCTTTGAGATTATGAACCGTGATTGTGTTTGTTTGCAGGTTAGTTTGGAAAGACTTAGATTCAACCCAATCATTTTGTAGTTTATAGACTCTCTGAGGCATTTTCTCTGCATTCTGCCTGATGGATTTGGAGCAAAACAAAGGGGGAAATTATATTTAAGCAAAAGGAAAATCAAATACTTTTTTTTAATTACTTGCATAGATATTAAAAACAAGCCTTTTTAGGACATTTAAGAATTTTTTTTTTTTTTTTTGCATTGACATTTTTCATGACAACATATTTTCATGACAACGATGCACTGCCTTAAATTCTCATTACTGTAATGCAGATATTTTACTTTTGTAATTTTCAATAGGGATTCTCATTAGATTCAAAATAAAACATATACTGTATTACTGTATTACAGACAATTTACTATGGCATAAATTAAAACCCAGACAAAAAATACTATCATGTTGTATAAATATTTTACTGTTTAAATAACGTCATTAGTTTTTTTCTACAATACAGTATTTTTTTTTTAAATATCATAAACAATAAGGCCACAGTATTATTAGACCTAAAACAGGATTAACTTTTCTGTAAGTAAAATACACTTTTGTCCTATATATTATATTATGTAATACATATTTTTGAAATAATTTAATTACATTTTTTGACAGACAAATACAAAACAATACAAATAATGTTTTTCTTTTTTTCTAGTTTTCCCAGTTGTGGGGGATATTTCTGAATGATTTTTTTGCTGAAATATAGTCCAAATTCCAAGCATTTTTATACCAATTTATAAACCAAACTCCTCATCCACAGACAAGGATCAGTACAACTGTGAAAGGAATATATTTACGGATTTGTTTTCTCATTTCATGCCACATTTGTTGCATTAGACTGAATGGAAACCACTCAAGGAAACCTGGCGTTTCCTCATGTCTGCACGACGATGCATCAGTCCACCCTAAAGCGCTGGCTGCATCTCACCCCGTGCGAGGCGTGTTTGTGGGTGGGCAGCGGCCGTCTGCCCCGCAGGCCTCGTGCGGGACGTTTCAACGTGCACATGTCCTTTCAGGTGGAGCAGGGCTACCGGAGCAGCGCGGCTTATAGCCAGCTGGACTCTCAGGCGGTGGAGGCCTTGGATCTGCCCACACCCACCTGCTTCCGCTCCCGGAGCCACAGTTACCTGCGCGCCATCCAGGCCGGATGCTCTCAAGACGACGATACGGGCTCCGTGGACTCCGACGAGACGCCACCTATATCCTCATCCATCAGCAGCTATAACAGCGCCACCGGTGAGTATTAAACACATGCAAGCGCACACTCATACAGGATCACATTCATGGACCATGGACCATTCCTTAAATTCTCATTATTGTCCTGTATCCAGACATTTTACTTTTGTCATTTTCATTATTTTCAGTAGGGAATCTCATCAGATTTTAAGTAAATATACATACTGTATTACAAATAATTTACACCAGCATAAATTAAAATGTATTTTACTATTTAAATAACATCTTTAACATATTTTTAAATATCATAAATGTCACAGTGCAAAACATCTTATAATTTTTTCTTTAAATAAACTTAAAGTACCGTTCAAAAGTTTGGGGTTATTATAATTTTTTTTCTTTTTTGAAAGAAATTAATACTTTTATTCAGCAAGGATGCAAATAATCAAAAGTGTCAGTAAAGACATTAACAATGTTAGAAAAGTTTTCTATTTCAAATTGATGTTGTTTTGAACTTGGCAGTTTAAAAAAAAAGAAAAAGAAGAAAATAAATGGACCTGGTTGTCGTGTATCACAGGGATAGCGCTGAATTTGCACATGCAGAAACAAAGGTGTTGATAAAGTAGACAAAGTCCAGGATAGGCAATATAATATCCTGATCTTGTGGACTTTTCAGTGATCATGTCATTTTATTGGCTCCAAAGGTGATGTCAGTGCAATCAAACAGGCCTTGTTTGTCTTTCTCAGTAATAAAGACTTCAGTGTGAAGTCGGATCTCTTTTGCTTTGAGAGGTCCGCATGTGGGCAAGTCCAGACAGATGATCTGGAATCATGGTGTGAGGGTAAAAACAGCCGCTAGACCATGTCGACTGTCTTAAAGAGATAGTTCACCTGAAAAAAATGAAAATTCTCTCATCATTTACTCACCCATTTCATCTCAAAAGGCTTATATAGAAGTGCATGAGACACATGGACTACTTTGGTCTATTTTTGGAGACAGACAAAGGCTTTTGGAAGGATTTGATCCTTTCATTTCATGTGGTCATTCAGTTCATGTGGTCAAGATTGTGGAAGTTTGTTTCCTCCACGAGATAAAAAATAAAGGTAATTACGACTTTTTATCTCACAATTCGAACTTTTGTCTTGCAATTCAGAACTGCAAGGTATAAACTCGCAACTGTTAGATATGAATTTGCAAATCTGAGAAGGAAAGTCTGAATTGTGATATATAAACTCAGAATTGCAAGACAAAAAAGTCTGAACTGTGAAATAAAAAGTCGTAATAACTTTAAATTTTTTTTATTCCATTGTGGAAAATAAAACAGAATTGCGAGATGTAAACTCAGAAATCAGAGAAAAAAATTGAATTGTGAGATGTCAACTCAGAATATAGAGGAAAAAATAGAATTGTTAGAAAAATACAATTTCCAGATGTGAACTAGAAGTCTGAGGGAAAAAAATAGAATTGCGAGATGTAAAGTCAGAATACAGAAAAAAACTGAATTGCAAGAAAAAATGAGAATAGCAAGACGTAAACTCAGAAATCTGAGAAAAAAACTAGAACTGTGAGATCTAAACTCAGAATACAGAGGAAAAAACAATTGCAAGAAAAAGACAGAATTGCAAGATGTAAAATAAGGAATCTGAGGAAAAAATAGAATTGCGAAATGTAACTCTCAGAATACAGAAAAAAATCTGAATTGCGAGGAAAAAAAGATGTGAACTCAGAAATCTGAGAAAAAAATAGAATTGTGATATGCAAACTCTCTAATGTGGGTTCATAACTTGCAATTCCAACGCTATCTCACGACCGATTCGTACGTATTTTACGAGGTGGCTAATTCGTACGAATTCGTATTTTGTACGATTTGTCTAGACCCCAGTGACGGGTAGGTTTAGGGGCGGGGTTAGGTGTAGGTAATTCGTACAAATTCATACGAATTGTGCAACTCGTAAAATACATACGATTTAGCAAAAATCGTATGAATTTTTACAGATCGGGCTGGCAATTCTGAGGGGAAAAAAAGTCAGAATTGATGTAAACTCGCAATTATGAGTTTCTAACTTGCAGTTGTGAGACATAAACTAACAATACTGAGGAAGAAGTTAGAATTGCGAAATGGAAACTCAACAATTGAGAAAAAAAAGTCTGAATTTTGAGATTCATAACTTGCAGTTCTGAGGAAAAAAAGTCATAATTGATGTAAACTCGTAATTATGATTTTTTTTTATTACGTTAAGCTTCCATACAAGATCCATTAGGCTGCTGCAGTCATAACGTTCATAACGTCTCAGATGACCACTGCCAAGTGTGTCACAGCAAGATGTCTCTCTCTCTCTCTCACACACATAAACAAAATCTTCTGACCTACATTAGCACTGGTGGTGTCCTGCGGAGATGAATCCTTCAGCTTAACGGCTAATGTTTCTCAGCCCATCATGACCAACTCTGGCAAAACTTCCATCCACAAATTAAACCTCATCTTAGCCGGTTTTCAGAGGAATTAACCGACATCAAGCAGATTAGTTTGGCACAAGTCTTGATAAACCAGCAGCCACTGGGCCTGAGTCTGATTTTTGCAGTTGATCTACTTTATTTGTATTGCATTTTACTGTATTTTGATAGGTCTTATGATTTAATATATGAAAGGTGGACAACATTCCCATAATTTCACGATGGTCTTGAACAGTTTTGAAAAGGCCGACCGCTTGTGTAAGAACAAAGCACAGTTGTACACTCAGAAATGTACAATGATAATGAAATCTAGTCTATTTTTGGAGAGGAATCTGGCGAATGCTATTTAGTTTAGGTAGCAAGCTGTCAAGAAAACCAAACCTTGGCCATCTGTTTACCACTTCTGCACTTCTTCTGCATAAAAAAAACAAAACCTGTGCTATTTTGCCCAGTCCATGGCTATGTTCGGAATAGCATACTACTCTCTTGTGCACAGCAGTTCTGATTGTGATTTTTTTTTTCAGTATGCATACTATAAATGAGCAGCTTTACTGCATGAAAAACTGTATCCCAGAATGCAATGCGCTTGACTTGACCTTCCAATTTCCAGCGTGATGGATGAATCGGAAGTAACATGGGCATAAATGTCTTCCATTTGATCAGAGTGACACATTTTAAAGATTTTTACACAAAATCGGATATATTGCTGAATTATAAACATACAGTATGATGGGGTCACATGACCACAATGTAGAAAAATACTTTTTGTTTTCTTTTAGAAAAGTAATATTCCTTTGAATGAAGTAAAACAGATGATAAATGTAAGACTAGGATGCAGTTCATTTTAACACTGAGAAATTGTGACATCTCAGATTTACTTTTGGTACTTAAGTACTTTTAAAAGCAAGTACTTCTGTACTTTTACTTAAGTAAAAATCTGTCTTTACAACCTTTCACTTGTATCTGTACTTTCACTCAAGTAATGGAGTTGTGTACTTTGTCCACTTCTGTAATCTAATAATAATAATAACTTTATTTTTATATAGCGCCTTTAAAGCAGCTTCTGAAGGCACTTTACATAATAAAACAAACACATAAAAATTACAACACATATTTAAAAGAACAGACTAAAACATAAAATTTAGAATAATCAAGAAAAAGCTAACCTAAAAAAACAGAGATTTAAAAGTACATAGATTCTGTGCATCTCTGATTGTAAGAAGGGAGTGCATTCCAAAGTCTAGGGGCGTAGGATGAAAAAGCTCTGTCCCCTACAGATTGCATGCAAGCGTGTCTGTGGAACAGCCAGTAGCTTGTGAGGAGCACACGTGATGCTTGGGTGTATATAAAGTTAAAAGTGCAGACACATACCGAGGGGCCCGAGCATGTAGTGCCTTATAAGTGAGGTCACCGAGGTCCAGACCTCTGTAAATTTTTCATGTTCAGAAATAAAATGTGTTCTCTGAATGACGAATTTGCTACTTAAAGCTCCTTATATGAGTGTCTGCATGTTTAGACAGTTTGCAAGAATGTTTAGCGTCAGTGGTATGAAAATGATGTATTGACGCTGGCGGTTCACTCAAGAGAACGAGGCTGGAGAGAGTTGTGAGTGACGGCATGGGGCGCAGCCTCCACTGTGTTGCCAGACCCAGCTATTATGTGTATTTGAACTTGTCTTTTCCACTTAATTTGACATTTTAAAAAAGTTAATAAAGTGGGAAGTTGGGTATAGGGTTAGCGATATGTTTATCTTATGTTATTTGCAAAAGATTTGAAATAATTTGGTTTATTTTGTTTTTTTTTTACGGTTTTTATTTTTTATTATTATTTTTTTCATAGCAATATCTGGCAACACTGATCGCCTGCCCTTAAACTGACAGTAATCAAAAAAGCCCATGGATAGATTATTGCTGACAGGATACCACATTCGTTAAAGGGGTCGTATGATGCTGCTAAAAAGAACATTATTT